CACTGCTGTATGGGGGTTTGTTTTTAATCTCGGGGTGACTTTGCTTGCTTGCTTTTACTTTATTTTTTAATAGAGGAATCAGTGGCCACCATTAAGAGGAAAAATTTTTTTGGTTGCGTTATTTTAAATAAGGCGACAGGGAAGTCAGCCTACAGCTAGGGAACGTGACGGTTTGCATGAGGGTGGTGATATTTTTGTACAGCTCCTGGGAAGACATATGCTCACTTGGGGACTAACACAGGCAGGAGCTTCAGGCCTGAGTTGTCATCATCCTTAGGTGGGAGATGGGGTGCTGGGTGGTCCCAGCAAAGCCACAGAACTGATTTTGTGTGGCTAGGGGGAGATATAGCCTGACTTTAGATAACTGTAAGGAGGTCTCTAGAACAAAGCTCATATTTTAAAGCAGTTTGTTTTTACCATTTAATTAGATGTGCAATATGGGGCAAGCTGTCAAACCCTCTGAATCTCAGATTCCTTGTTTTAAAATGGGAATAAATGCCATCTGTGAGGCAGGCTTGTTGGAAAGATCAGCCAGTTGTCTAGAGCACCTGACCCAGTCTGTGGTGCACTGTAGACATGTGGAAACTGGTAAGTTATTATTGATGGGTACAAGTGGGGACCAATCTCAGATATTTCTTAAGTACCTGCTTCACTAGGGTTCTGAAATAGCCTAGAAGCTTCTTGATATTACATATGAAATAGGGCAATCGTGTATGTGTACACACACACACACACACACCTGTTTTGAGAGGCAGAAGATCCCATCACTTCCCTCAAACTAGAGGAAGGGCTTCCATATATAGTTGAACAGGTGGTCTACTGAACAAGGAAGCCCAGATGAGGGAGGAAGGAAAGGAATTGAAACCCAGCCTTTCACTTTTTCTGAGAAATGGCCCCTTTCAGAGGATGAGGCAGTGTTTTGTAATCCCCGCAAAGATACCCTGTGTGTTGGGGGAAGGATTTCTGAGTTGGAGGAAATCACTTTCATTTCCCTCCATCCCCCTGCTACCTCTGATCTTACTCCTTCTATGTGGGGTCCCCAACTCTCTGGACTTGTGTCACCTGTTTCTCCTTCCTATTCCCGTGGGAAAAAGCCGAAAAAACTGAACGAGAGAAGCCACAGGCCTAATGAAGGGAAGGGAAGGATTTAACTTGGAAGGAATCTAATCAGAAGAGTGAGTTTGGGAGAGACCTTAATTATTGGGTGGTTATTCGCACTGTATCTTCTTGATGACTGGGGGTGTGGGCAGCTCTGCCCAGGAGCTAGCTGTTCCTGCCCCTCCATGGCCACACAAGGCGAGGTAATGTTGGTGCTTTGGGGCTCTTAAGTGAGGGTTTAAAGGGGGGGAGTCTAACTTCTGTTTCCACCACATCTTGTTTAAAAAAGGTTTGTTTGTTTGTTTTTTTTTTTAATGTTCTGGTAAAAAACATAGAGCGTGAAAGTTTGCCATCAGTAGCGTTTATTCATTCACAATATTGTGACCTACTCTGTAGTTCCAGAACATCGTCATCACCCCAAGAGGAAAACCTCCACTGATTTCCCCCTCCCTCTGGTCCCTGGCAAGCATGAATCTATTTCTGTCTCGATGACTTTGCTCGTTCTGGGCATTTCATGTGGATGGAATCCCGCCATGTGCAACCTTTTATGTTTGGTTTCTTTCACTTAGTGTCATGTTTTCAAGGTTTATCTGTGTTACAATATGTGTCGGCTCTCCGTTTCTTTTTATTTCGGAATCATATTCCATTATACGGCTGCATTACATCTCGTTTATCCATTCATCCATCGATGGGCGTTCAGGTTGTTTTCACCATTTGGGCCATTATTACACCAGTTTTTGTTATAATATTAATTTGCAGTTTGGGGGCTCTAAACCCAGGTGTCTCCAATCTTTTTTAACACCCAATTTGTTTCCAGTCAGCCACCGGGAGGTCAGACCACAGCTGCCTTGGAATGTGGTGGCACAGAGCCGGGCCCAGGGCCATGGAGGAAGGGATACAGAGGCTGCCTTTGCCACTTTGGCCGAGTAAGAAAATCGGCCTGTTTGGTGCAGGTATCCTCCTTCTCCCCTCTTTTGGAACCTTGTGGCCCTCCCTAGTTCAGTACTGGGGTGCCTCCCACTTTCCGTAGGGCCCCACATTTCCTACTTGAGGGAGACTTCAGAGCGGTTATTGTATCTCCGGGACTGTCAGTGTCCTCACATGTTCTGACCCAACAAGATTAGCTAGAGTCATTCTAAAGAGCAAAGTGGCACGCGTCTGCGGAGAGGAGACGCGCATTGTGATTGTTCTTTCAGAGACAGGCACTGAGTATCAGAGGGTTTGGCTCACTCCTTCTCCCGTCTCTGTACAGAGTGGTCTCCTCACTACCCGGCCTTCTCTCCAGAGTGCATTGGCCAACATCTTAAGGTATTAACCTCCCCAGCACATGTTTGCATTTAAAGTTGGGTGGTCCTGGAGACAGAAACCTCAGAGAAGTGACAGCGGATGGTGACATTTCAGATGGCAGTCATGGCGAGGCTGGGGTGGAAGTTAGTGTGCTTTTCTGAGTGTCAGAGCACTGTGGAAAGAGGCTGTGAAGCCCCCCTTCCATTGGGAACCCCATCCATCGAGCATTCTTGGGGACAGGCACTCTCCTAGGTGCAGGTTTATTATTAATCTCCCAAACATTTTCCACTACTGAGCTGAGGTACTCAGCCTTCACTTCACAGATGTGGCAATAGCCTGGCTGAGTCATTTGCCTGTGGTCACATGGCTACCAAGTGGCTGAGTCAGGACTGGAGCTGAGGCCACGGGAGCCTGAACCTATTTTCAGAGCGCCTGTGGGTTCCCTCTCTGTAGCCCACTTCTGGCCCTGTCAGTCTCTGGTCCTTCTTCATACTCTTTTACAGCTTCTCACTTACTCCCAGGTTATTTGGAGAAGCAATGGTATAGTCTCCCCATATTTGATTGAAGGAGAAACTAAAATTTTTCAGTCAAGGAGAGGGCACCTGGCATCTTCCCTTTCTGGTTCAAGAATGCTTCTCTCTTCGATAAACTCTTCTCTTGCTCCCCTCCATGCCCACCCCAAATCCCATCTCCTGTGCACACACATACACACACATGCATGGACACTTTGCTGATTATAAAGCTACAGGTATTTGCCTTTTGTTTTAGAGACAGAGTCTCACTCTTCTACCCTGGCTGGAGTGGCATCATCATAGCTCATAGCAACCTCAGACTCTTGAGCTCAAGTGATCCTCCTGCCTCAGCCTCCCGAGTAGCTGGGACTATAGGTGCCCGCTATAATGCCCAGCTAGTTTTTCTATTTTTAGCAGAGACAGGGTCTCATTCTTGCTCAGGTTGGTCTCGAACTCTTGACCTCAGGCGATTCACCTGCCTTGGCCTCCCAGAGTACTAGGATTACAGGCCTGAGCCATCTTACCTGGCCCAGGTATTTGTCTTCCATGGATTTTGGCCATCTTCCAGTCCTGGAAATGATAGAGCAGTATATGAGGCCCAGGTAAACCTGCACAGGTGTGTAATTGTGCTTAATGGATGAAATCTGCTAATGAAATGACAGCTTGGGAGCCCAGGGGGACACCAGCCTGGTGGCTGTCCACCTTGCCATGACCTGCTTGCTTAGAAGACAGTCTTCCCTACTGAATCAAAGAGGCACTACTCTTTACCAGAGCTGTCCAGGGTGTAGGGAAAAGCTTTTAATTAAGTTATGAAAATTCTCCATGAAACATACATTGCAACTACACAGAGGGCCAAAGGAGGACTGCATTTACCCAAAATCCCAGCAGTGGCTGGGGCTGGGATTTATTCTTTCCTTTCCTGCCAACCTTCAGGGCACCATGGAAAGCTGCCACACGTGGTTTTGCTGCCTTCAGAAAGCCTGGGAGCAGCCTGGGCACTGTCATGCTGCTCCCTTTCAATCTATTGTCCTGTCTTCCAAAGCAGGGGTTATCAGTGCACATGGCTGGGCCTTGCTGAGGACATTTGGGAGCTGATGACCTGGGCTGTTTCTGAACAAGCCCCGGCTGTGCTAAGAAATTCACAGTCACTTTCTCCATGGATCTCAGACTCTGATTCACATCGATTCACTTTCTTCAGAAGGCACAAGCGATCGTATAGTGATTGTGTGGTGATCATGTGGGCTAATTTGGACCCTCCAACATTTTAAAATGCTGTAGCTAATAACTTTTGTTTTTGTGTTTATTGGGGAAAATCTAGAGGGAAGAGATAGATAGAAAGGAAAGAATAAAAACTGCCTGTAATTCCACCTCCCAGGGGTCCCTGGTGTTTTAGCATCTATGTCTATGCTTAGTTTCTATATATGGTGTATTTTTCTCTGATTTTTTTTTACATGAAAAGTAATACTAGACATGATTAAAAGACTTAAGCTGCATGTAAGTGCATACAGTGAAAGTCAGTGTCTGTTCCGTCCCCGAGTCCTCACTCTTTTTGCCATAGTGATTTGGACACTTGCTGAGAAAAGCTCCATCCAGCAGTCCCCAGATTCTTGGGATGGTGGTAGAATGTTTGCATCTCACTGCGGTGACTTGCTCGAACTTCTCGGGCCAGGCGTACACAGCAGGCCGCGGCTGGTTGGCTGCTGTACTCGATGGTCCCTGGAATTTCAGTCTTCAGATTCCACAATGGAAGATGGTCAGAGGGACTGGGTCCCTGCAAAGAGCTGCAGCTCTGCGAAGATTTTCTAGGGGGGCTGACAATAGGAGAGCCCAGCTCTGTTAGGCGCCCGGCATTTCCCTCTGTGCTCCCAGGAAAGCTGACCTCTGTGCAGTGGCTCTGAAGGCACAGATGCCTCTCACCCCTTATGCTCCTGAGATCACACGTGTGTGGCTGGTGACCTCCCCTTGAGGGGGAGGGGCCTCTGGGTCACAGACTGTACAATGTTCAGCTATTCTGGGGTGACTTCACAAACCCCTGACTTCCTGGTTTTAAAAACACTTTCAAAAATGCCAGATGGATGTGACCTTCTCTTTCCTCCCCAACAGAAGCCTGGAATGGTACCCCCTCCGCCAGGAGAAGAAAGCCAGACCGTCGTCCTTCCACCTGGCTGGCAAAGCTACCTGTCCCCACAGGGCCGTCGCTACTATGTCAACACGACCACCAATGGTGAGTCCTGTCGAGGGCACACCCTGCCTCAGCCCCTGGCAGCTGTTTTCCTCTCCCTGCCCGCCCCTCTGTTCTAGAGCTCTTTCTATGTCCAGGGACTGCAGCAGAGTCCTGCTGTCCCCACAGCATTAAGTGGCAAGGGGTCCCAGTCTGGGTCTGTGGTCCTGGGAGTATCTTCAGAGGGAAGGCTATGTCCTTCGAGGCTTGGTCACCCTTGGAAACTCACATCACTTTGGGCATCTTTGTCAAGTACTGTCTCATTGTCTGGGGCTGGGTTTTTTCAAAGGGGATTTCAAAAGGTTGTAGGGTTAACAGTTGCTTTAAATCGAGTTAACCAGATGAAACCACTGCATGGTTGGTTGGAACTTTGTATGTACTCAAGGTACTGAAGCTCTGAATCCGGGAATGCAAATGTGAGGCTTCCCAAATGTGAGCCCGACATCTTTTTTTCTTTCCTGGAGTATCTCACTTGCTGGTATTTCTTGGAATATTCGCTGGGAGATGTTGGGGCTACTTACAGATTATTTATCACGTCAGACAGCACAGGTTCCACGTGCATATTTGAGTTGAGCAGGACCACACCTCAGTGCTTGAAATTATTGTGGATTTCTCAGGCTCTCAGATAACTCAGGATCCTCAGAAATAGGCTGGAGATGGCATACATAAAAGGGAGCGTACAGTGTCTCTAGCAAGTCAGGTTTCTAGAGAGCTGAGCTGGGCAATCTGTTGTGGCTGTGGTCTTGGGCCAGGCAGGCAAACCAGCTAACTGCCTGATGCCTTCACCTCCATGACTCCCCAAGGGAATTGCCATGAGAAAACTGAGAGGATTAAAACCATGGAAAGATGGATTTGGTAGGAATCGTAGGCATATATGCCAAGACAGGACATAAAATTCTACCCCAATCCACCTGCTGGCTCAGCCTTGGCCTCTCTCTTCTCTGGCCTGGGTCCATCTGACTTCATGGCCACCTCTTCATACACAAGGGGATCGTTACTATGTCTTATGATTACAGTTCTGCCAGGGAAGGGGGCCTGATAACAGGAGAGCCAGCTGTGGGTTAGCAGAGACACAAAGAAGGCAGCTGACAGCTGCCGCTCTGGGTGACTGGCTTCTTCACATCCCCTGGCAACCTGACCTTCTGTGGGCTCAGAAGGGGTGGTCTAGTTGAAGGGGTAACAGAGTTTCTAGGAAAAGTGAAGTGGAACTATTTCTGACCATTCTAGCCTTGCGCTTCCTCAAAACAAACACATGTGCAGTTTTGTACTGTTATCAGAGCTCTGAAGTTTCAGAGGAGAGTGTGTTCACATGCAGCACCCCAGCTGCAATCTGCAAAATGCAGAATTTGGACCATAGGATCCTGAGATCATCAAGAATTGGGATTCAATCCTGTCCTGAATTAGCTACTCTGTCGCAAAAGGGTGGGGGGCGGGGAGGGGGGGGAGAAGTGCTTTCTAAAAGTAGCATCTTTTTAAAAACATCTTTAAAAATACTTTTTTAAAATGAGAGAATAATATATTTTCAGGTTAAGACTGTACTGTCGTGGCATGGAAGCAGCCACAGATGACATGTAAACAGATGTTGCTGTGAGCCAATTAAACTTTATTTATGAATACCAAAATGTGAACTCCCAATAAATTTTACATGATACGAAATATCATTCTTCTTTTCATTCTTTTTAAATCATCTGATGATATAAAAGATGATCTCCGTTGACCAGTCCACTGAGCCATGTGATATCAGGGGATGAGCTGGGCTGGCCCGTGGGCCGTAGTTTCGTGCTGTTCGGAGTCACCTGTCAGCTCCAGGAGGACTGACACTAGTTAGCCTTCCTCTCTTTTTCTTTTATCCTAAGGGCAATTCCCGTTTCTTGGTCTTACATTCTAGATACATGCCAGTGTTGTCCATTAGTTGTTTGATTCATCGTTTATCTGTTTACTGATTGAATCATTCATTCAGCACATACTTTATTGAGCCTCAAATGTGTACCAGGCGGAGTGCATGCTGGATGCTGGAGACAGAATAAGAAAAAAGCAACTCTCACCTGCAAATGCTTAACTTCTTGTAGCAGAAGCAGGTTTTAACTGAACATGAGAAGGGCTATGAAGGAGAAGACCAGGGTGCTGTAAGGGCACAAAAATCCCTGGGGAGTCAGGGTGGGCTTCCCGAGGAGGTGGTACCTTTCTGCTGCATGGGAAGGACCAGGAAGGGGTAGAGGATGGTGAAGAGTTAGTCATGTGTAGAGGCATCTTGCAGGCCTCGAACGTTGTATTGGGGGTTTTTGTCTGTGGTCTGAGGAGAGGGAAGCAGCTGTCTTTCTGCCTTCCCTCTGGAATCCTTTCTTAGATCTGTTTTTGTTTGGCCGCTGGGGTGTTTTTAAGATTTTTGAACCTGCCTTTTGGCAGGAAAAAGTGTCTATCAGAATAGCCACTCATTCTTCTCTTGCCTCCTGACTCCTGGGGGCTTCTGAGCTCGTGCCTCCTTGCTGCTGGGCTGGCAGCATGCACCTTTTTGCCTCAATCCTCGCTGAAGCCCTACTTGCCTCCCCTCTCCAGCCGCACTGCCCAGGAACTGTGGGCTTTGTTCTAAGTGGGCCACTCCTCTCTGCCTCTCCATCTGTCTGCCTTTCTTCTAAGTACGTCCACTTTCCCTCCTTTAATCTCTCATCTCTCCTTTCCCAGAGAGCACTTGGGGGTAATAGGGTTTCTGTCCCCGTTTTTATACCACATACACATATAACCAGTAGAAGTCTGATTTACATTTGTATTACCTTGCTCTGGCTAAGCTGCTCATTTTCACATCCATTTAGGATTTTATGGATGAGGGTGTCACAGTGCCGGCCACCATGGCAGGCTCTGGGGATACAAAATCAAACAAGACACCATCTCTGCTTGCAGAGACCACAGTTCTAATGGGGCCAGAGAAACATAAACCTGTAAGTGTTACAGATATTAAGGTGGAGAGCTGGAGGCTCAGGGGAGGGTGGTCAGCTCTATCTGGGCATCCAACGAGTCTTTGAGGAGGGCCTGGGTTTCAGCGTGAGTGTAGGCAAGGCAGCAGGAGAAAGGCTGATGGGTGTGTTCTTTGGGATTGGTAAGGGATAGAGGTGAGAGAGATCAGGGATCTGATCTACAGAAGGCCCCTGGAGGCATTTTGAGGGGTCAGATCCTTATCCTGTGGGCAGTGACATGACATGATCAGAATACTGTGGCCAGGTTGCTTGTGCAGCAGAGTGACAGCGTTAAGGCCAATAAGCATGGAGCCCGACAGACTAAATGAGAACAGAAATAATGAGGTCAAACTCTACTTCTACAGCAGCGGCTGGAGTGGAGGAGGTAGAATCTGTCAGGCAGGATGTGGCAAGTCGGGGATAGGGAATGCTCAGATTCCTCCCAGTTTCCTGCCTCGTGTGATGGAGCCATGCAGTGAGAATAGGGGATACAGGTGCAGAAGGGAGAAAATGAGGCTGTGTTGAGAGTCTGGTCCTTGAGGGACATTCAGATGGTTAGTACGTTCAGGGGACATCTGGGCTAGACATGGGAGCTTGGGGAGCATGTGGTACAGGGCTTGGCTTGCAGAGAGCAGAGTGGATTTCACGCCTGCTTGCCCCCTCGTGCAGTGAGCAGCCTGCACAACCACACACGGCAGTCCAGGATGTGCATTTCATCAGCATGAAGATGAAGCCCTGAGGATGGCGAAGATCACCCAGGCCATGCCTGTGGGAGGGAGCCTTGCAGCACAAAGTTTAAGGGAGTAACCAAGGAGACTTTCAAGGAATTTTCTGAGTTCCAAGGAACTAGGAGGTGGTAGTATCATGAAAAGCAAAGGAGAAAAGATCAGCAAGGAGGGGTAGTGAGAGGCAGACTGAAATATAGAACAGATTTGTGGTTGGGGTGATACTTTAAATCAATGGGGAAAGCACGACTTATTTAGTAAATGGTGTTGGGCCAGATGGCTAGCAGGAAGTTTCAGTGGGTGAGTTAATGCAATAATGCCATTGCTTTTGTGTAAACTCACCAACGCCGTCAGAGCATGTTCTGTGAGACTCGGGAAGTCCCCATCTAACATATTCCCCCATAGCTTGTGGCTCTTCAGGGGATTTCATCATGTAAAGTGGCCTTTAGTTCAGCTCCAGGAACTCCTGAGGTTCTGGTATCAGGAAATTGCTTGTCCTGTGCTCTCTAGGAAAGTGCTCCATTGCCACTAAAAAGTTGCCTCTGTTGCTAAAAGTTAGGGTTGTGATTAGTTCATGAATCACATTGACAATCACTGTTAACAGCCTCCCCCATCCAGGGACAGTGTTAAGGGGACTGTTGTAGACTGTGCAGGCTGCTCTGAAAAAATACAATAGGCTGGGTGATTTATAAACAACAGAATTGGTGTTGCTCATAGTTCTGGAAGCCAGAGGTTCAGGATCTAGGTACCAGCAGATTTGGTGTCTGGCAGGGGTTTGCTTTCAGGTTCATAGAGGGCTGTCTTCTCTCCATTCATTTCCACATCATGGAAGATGGAAAACAAGCTCCCTTGGGCCTCTTTAATAGGGGTCCTGATCCCATGAGGGTTATCATGAACTAATCACCCACTAAAGTCCCTTCCTCTTAGCACTATCACATTGGAAAGTACGTTTCAACCCATGAATTTGGGAAGGAATAAACTTTCACAGTGTAGCCTGTGAATGATGATTATATCTTAGATACAACACAACATGGTTTGTTCCATTTACCATTGAAAAGCCAGGTGTGTGTGGTTATTCACTTTGAACAGTGATCTGTTCACAGATATTCAAGTGCTCTTTGGAGAGATGCCAACCTTTTAGATATTATTTAGGAAACATAATTTTACCATTTGAATATTATAGGGGTATTTGAAGCCAGTCTTGAAGTTCAAGATTAGTTTCGTTTAATGTATGATTAATATTTTACCTCTTCTTAAATCTTTGTACACTCTACAGCTTTTATTTTTAAAGAAAAAAAGTCATATGAGGTGGTATCTTAGCCCTTTT